AACATGCAATACACGCACGTGCGCGCACTTTCGTTCATACAAGTGCGTTGTTGAATATGCGTGACATATTGGATGTAAAATGGCATGCAGAGAGAACAGGACCGTGTTTTCTTCTTTACGTCTCACGAATACCTTTTCTTATTACAATTTTTCTTCTTTTTTTTTTTCTTTTACTATGCCACATATATATATAAAGTGTCTCACAATGAATGACTTTATGTGAAAAAAATATTCCGAAAAGTAGTAGAATATAAAGTTAATATAAACTTCTTTTTCTATTTTTTTTTTTTTTGTTCCAAGAAATTAAATTTGAAAATTCTTATACATGGATTTCACTCTTTTTCATCAATTTTAAAGAATATTCAAATTTAATTTTCTCTGATGAAAAATTTTTATTTTGAATTTTCGTTTTCATATGTAGAATCATATTTTTTCCAGTAGTGAAATCATCAATTATAGAACACGCTATATATATACATATTGTAATTGATTTTGTAGTCATAGGCGGTTGCAAATTTCTTTTCTTTCTGAGATTAGTTCTTATTTATAAAAGAATAACTAATTGTTATATTAATTATAAAAGAATAATGTTTATATAGTTTTTAAAATTTAAAAAATTTTAAAAGTATATATATATATATCATAAGATATTGCCCATTTACTTATATTTATGAGATAGAAAGTAATTAAATTTTAATTGTATTAATAATATTAATATCAATGTAACGAGTTAATTAATTTTCTGATTTTTTTAATATTATGACATTTTAATATAATGAAAACTTTATTAACTGTTATTAATTCTCCATTATCATTTTTTAAATCTACTTTAACTCTTTCTAGATTAAACTAAAACTTTTTTCATTCATGATGAATTAAGAATCCATTACTTTGCTTATATTAATTGCTTCATGATAAAAAGAAAATTCCAATTAAAAACTATCCAATTAATAGTTCAATTTTATGTTATAGTTTGACAACAATAGCATATTTAAAATACATAATGTATTTTATTTTGTACTTATATTAGAAATTATTATATTTTTTAATTAATTGTTTCGTACTATGAAAGAATTTTTGATTAT